AACCACAGCCTGCCTTGTAGCCTGTCATCTGTCACTTTTCCTTTGCTGGAAACCACATGGTTCACGTCTCCTTCTTCCAGCTCTTCTCTGGAGGGTAAACTTTGGTCTGGTTCCCAGTCCTTGCCATCCTTTTCCACATTTCTCACTGAGGCTTTGGATGGAAGACTGGTGATGCATAAGAACTGGAGAAGGCTTCCTGGAGTAGAAACTCCTCAGACATGTCTATTCACTCGACTCTTCCTTCTACCGCCCGTTCAGTACTGGAACAAATAATCCCAAGCAAGGTGGAGCTGGTTGATTAGAAAACCTCTTTGAGAGCCATCTGGCTGACAGATAAAATAACTGCTAATGAAGGGAGATAGTCAAATAGCCATGAACACCAGCAGGTGGGATACTTGGAGTCCAACTCTTGTCCCACCCAACCTAGCAAGCAATCTGCACTGGCTAGCCTGAAACTCCTGACAAATTCTCCTGCCTCAGCCTCTGGAGAACTGGGATCATAGACATGCACCACTACTCCAGGCTTAAGGGTGTGAGCTTGGGCAAGGCACCAGATCTCTCTCATCTTCATTCTCCTTATCTGTAACATGGAAAAAGTGGACTTCACTGGGTGGAATCTTGGCTTATATGGAAATGTAAGATTTTTCCATTTCCTTTGCCTCTTAAAATATTTCCGAATTATGACAAATTGCCCTCCAAAATCATTACTGTGCTTTCTACCCTTGACTTCCCAAGGTGGCCTAACTGATTCCTCCTCTTCTAATGTCTTTTCCTCCTCCTTGGCCTAGCCTGCCTTTCTCCAGTTGGTGGCATCCTAGGTACCCACAATTCCCAGTGCCTGGGAGTAAAGGATCATTTGTATAGACAGTCAGCAGTAATCATGGCTCCAAGGAGCTAGGGTCCCCTGTAGTAGGCATCTACATGAATAGACGATTACTAATATTAGAGGTGGAGCGTAGATCAGGAGGACATCTTGTTATTTTAGGACTGGTGAAAAATAGAGACTTTGCAATCAATTGCGCTTAGACTTGAATCCCAGCTCTGCTGTTTACTGTGTGACTAACAATCTTTATTAGTCCCTCATCTAAAAATGGTTATAATTAATACCTACCTTGTAGGATTAATGGGTTAGAATTTTTAAAAAATTGAGCATGTAGTAGATTCTCCATAAATAAGAGCTATTACAGATTTTCAGCTCTGGTCAAGATGAAAAGGAAAAGTTTCAGCCCAAATCTCTAGGCAAGATGTAGCCATTCAAAGCAGGATTAGACTTTCCCAAAAATGTCAGCTAAAATATCATCCAAAGTCATTTTTAGTCATTGACAAATTAAGTCATCATATTATTTTTCAAGATACTTGGACAGATATAATCAACATCATAAAAATATTCTAAGCTTTTTAAATTCTAAGAATTTAAACAAAAGTATCATATTTGGTGGGGTGTTTAGAAATTTTTAATTATACTGTCCTAACCTAATAAAAAATTTGCCTATAAATGTTGACCATTATATTGGGTGTAAAATGAAACCAGCTATAATTTTGAATGTAGTGAATGGCATAAAGAAATGTACAGACCAATCTAAATGTTTATAAATCAAGGACTCCTCAGGGACTCAGTGCTCTGGCTTTCTTTTTTCTTTTTTGGTTTTTCTCCGGTACCGGGAACCGAACTCACGACCTTGTGCTTGCCAGGCAGGCGCTTTGCTGCTGAGCTAAATCCCCAGCCCCCTGGCTTTATTTTTTCAAATGTAGAGCGCCACGCTTTGTTCATACTTGAATTATATACTTTGCATAAGCCAAGCAATTTAACTTTAACCCACAGGACTGGAGATAAAATTAGCTCAGCCTGCAGAGCAAGGAGGCCGTGAGCAAGTGAGAACGTTAATCAAAGTGAAAGATTCGCCCTCACCACTCACTAGCTCTGTCCCCTAGCTCACTCTTGCTGGATAGTTTTGGGTACCTTGTGTTTGACTAGTCAAAATGGCAGAAACAGGTTAAAATTTTCACTGTGGAACATGGATTTGTCTTTTAAGTTGATGTCCTTCTCCATGCCTTGAGGAAGTTAGTGAGAAGCACACAATTTTTAAAAATCATAAGCAAAGGCATATCTTTGCTACTTGTAATCATGACAAAGTTTATGTAATTCAGGCATGAGTATTTTTTTTTCCAAATACAAAACAGAATTTTCTAGCTGAGAACATCTGCCTAAACAAACTCAACCCTCCAAATATTTCCAGCTATAGTTCATATTTGTTTAACCCAAACAGGTTTTGCTGAATGGCTGTTTAGTTCATTTTGACAGAAGGTGGACAAAGAGCCTTGTGGGCGGGTTTGGACACCATTGGTCTGGCACCTGGTTTACTGGTTCCAGTAGGGGGCCTGACCACATCCACCATCCGCCTCTGTATAAGACTATTCAGTCATCTCCAGGGAGCCTGATAAGGATTACTGTTACTGTCACTGTCATTTATTATCCCAGACAGAGGAAGCAGTGACTTAGTTCTATGTGGTCAGAGATGATCCCATATTATATATATTTAGCCTACATGATAATAATTGGTGAATGTTTAACATGAATGCCTAGCTTTCAGATGTCACCAATGGGCAATTGCTCAACTGACAGTGAATGTCGTTTGCTTCAACTTCCTCCAACCCCACTTGAAGGACTTTGCTTTATAGATGACCATCTATTAAATTGGTGCCTTATAACTCAGCATGGTAGTCTCTAATTCTCAACCGCCATGGTAAAAGAGGAACTGGTCTAAGGACACTCCATTCTAATTTTCTGTCACTGTCAATGTTAACCAGAGCTCATAGAGCAGTGATGTGGGGGTGGGGAAGATGGCTCCACCATTGGTGTTAGACCAGGAGCTACTGTTTTCTTTAGAGCCACATTTATTTCTGAGTAGTTGTAAAGCAGAGACGTGCTCCAAGGAGAAGAGGACTTGCTATGGATCAGGTAGGACCTGCCATCTGGACAACCCAACTCAGTGACAGCAGTGTACAGGTTAGAGGTGGGCAGGGTACTTTCTACACATTCAGCTAAAAATCACTTCTGTTCTGTAAAAGGAGACGAAATGTGAGCTACAAACAAAAGATCCACTTGGGAAACCTAGTACATATGTTAAGATGTTCAAATCTATTTTCTCCCTTAAAATTTTTCTGGGAACTCAAATATTTTGCTATCCTGATTATTTCCAGCCATTTTCTAGAAGACAGAGCCGCTGGAAAACTAGCAACCCCAGAAAATACTAATTCATTTTTGCCTGTGTTAAAATTAATTACCATTACCATAGTCAGTGATGCGATAGGCAATTATAGACTTTGGGAGGGAGAAGGAGACAAAAAACTGTAAATATTTTATACTTAAAACCAATCTCAAAGCATTTTATAAAAATGTTGGCTTATATCCAGAATCTAAGGGTGGGGGTGGGTATGATTTCTTTGTAGCTAAAGAAATAGATGGACAGGAATCGCTTCTATTTCCCTAAAATAAATAACTTCTTGTTTTATAAAGCATGGCAAATGAAATGCTTTTCTGGCTTGTAACTGCCAGTAGTATCTGGAGAAAATTTTTCTAGCAAGCTACACTGTTTTCTTCTTTGGGAACGTGGTGGCCCTGGTTTTGTAGCAAAATAGTATTTGCTTATTAGGCATTTCTTTAAAATCCTGAATAAGCAGCCCTTTCAATAGTTTTTGTTCCACATGTTAAACATTTCATTGCAATTTGAGCTTCAATTTTGTGTGTACGTGTGTGTGTGTGTGTGTGTGTGTGTGTGTGTGTGTGTGTGATGATAGGAATGAAAGGGGGTGTGATAAGAATTCTTAAAGGTTTTTTTTTTCCTTAATGGTTTTTTTATTTAAAAAATTAATTCCCCACAATTATGTACTGGAGTCTGCAGAAAGTGATTCCTATTTAGTACATACAGCCAAGCTAGATCCCATCAATCTTGAGCAGCGGGGGTAGGGAAATGGTATTGAAGAAGACATGAAATTTGGTGTTTGAGTAGATGAGATTTAATTTTCGGGAAACATTTCACTCATAAAACGGATAGCAACCCGGCGTCAGCCCTGACCTCCCGATGTCAATGTCATCATGCATGCATAGCTAAAATAAGCCTCAAATTAAAACAAAGAAACATTGCCTCCCAGCACAACACAATTTCTTCTCCTACAGTATGTACTGTCTTTATAGCCTTTTTGCTAGTCCTATAAATGGCTTGTTACCTTTAAATTTAACCTTTGAAGGGGGAGGGAGAAGAAAACTCATTCTGCATTTTCCACGTTCCGAACCCGTACAGTATGCTGTTTTAAACCTGAGTATTATTTAGGTCAGTAGCCTAAAGATAGCTTTTATTGTTCATGACACTCAGCTATGCATCCAAAGGAACTCAGCATCAATCTATTTTTCTGCACTAATTTTATTCTGCTTCTAATTTAAGAAAATTCATTCACAATCTTAATACGATTCAGTCTGAGGCGGTATCTGCATTCTCTACTGCAGATACATTTAGCAGGATACATTTACGCTGCTTGTGGTTAAAGGTTATAGAACGGATACAGACAGCTGAGCATGCATTCTTCTACAAGGCTGCCGGCACCCTTTAGGATTTTGAAAAATAATCTAGAAATGCGATACCCTTTATCAGAAGTATTTTTTTTTATTTTGCCATAGCTAACAGTTTTGATTTTTATTGTTAGCAATTCTATGAAATTAACAGTCTATAAAAATGCATCCCGGACCAGATACATACTGTACTGAAAGCTTTCTTCAAGAAGAGGATATGACAGTATTCACTCCAGCTTATTTTCTTCCTTAGCAAAAGGACTGAATCACGGAAGCAGGAGGACACATTCATTGTGCAGCAGCTCTGCTCAAGTGTGTGAAATGCCTTCTACTGTCTGGTTGCAGAATTTGGAGTTTGCTAAGCAGTGTTTAGTGATTGGGCTCATCTTGCATCACCAGTTGATGACATTTTTCTTTGTTCCCTCCTACCCAGTTGAACCAAGACTCTGAGGCTGATATGCAATGTCACTTACAACATTAATCAGATACCGCATTTAAGGTGAGCTGTCCCTTGCCTCCTCCTTCCCTAGTGCTCGTGTGCTGCATGCATTGCGTATCTTGCTTCTGCGAGCCTAAGATGGCAGTCAGGATTAGCCGTGCTTGTGCTGTGTGTGCATGCTGTGTATAGAATTCATTACACGTTGCCTAGTTTTTCAGATGTGAGTATGTAAATGCTCTGTATGCCATATCATCCGGTAGAGAAGACTTGTTTTTGCCTCATTACAGCCTTAGATATTTCGACATCACCTTTCATTTCCGATTCATTTGCTTCTGGGTGTTTGCTTTTCATCACATTCAAAATGCGATTTTACCTTTTTTTTTTTTTTTTAAACAAAGCCAAATAAGCCCCCACAAAACCCTAAAACCACAAACAACAACAACAAAACTCTGCTACCAGATGGTGTCTCCTCTTTCTCCCTGCATTTGCTGTCTTTTAAATAATGTATGTTGTATTGTTAATTAATGTGAATATCAAATTAAACACATGAAACCTACATGTTTACTGTGCAGGTGGGAGGCAAGGTGGGATCTATTTTTAATTCTTATGCACTCCGTCCTGTGCAAGCAACTTCAGTTCTCAAATTTGTATTTTCACTGCTGTTATCAGTGGTTTGATTTTCAGCAAATGTGACAGTGGCCTTTGCAGTGGTCAGCTCTGAGCTTTGAACTCTCAGAGGAGCAAGGAAAAAAAATTCAACACACCACCTCCTTGGTTGCAGCCTCAGAGAAATCTTGGATGAGAAACTTCTATTTTCAACCTTGTTTTCCTGTTGGTAAATTCAGTTCTTGGGATCACAGTACATTCAAGCTGTTCTGCGTTGATTTTTGGTGTGTGTGACAATTGCATCTAAAACTTGTGAGCCAGAAGACGGAGAAATCAGTTGGTCTCCATCGCCTAACATAAAAATGGCTGTCTTGTCATGCTAGCATTGCATTAAGTGATACATACAGGTAGGTTGAAATTTGCATGTTTTATAGATTTTTAAGCCATGTAGTAAGAGCATTAGATGGATTAAAATGTGACTTTTTAAATAAAAAATAAGATACTTGTAGTCTTTGGGGGGGTATTAAATTGGATAGCCTTTTCTATTCAGATACTATACTAATATATAGTTTTTATAAACTTATGAAATGATTCTGTTTTAAGGGTGTGATGATCCCTTTCTTAAAAAATCAGTTATAGGATAGGTGTGGCGCCACTAGACAACAAAAGAATTTTTTGAAAAGTCTGATGATTCAGCTTTATTTTAGCTTGAAACCAAAAATAAATAGGTTTCTAGAGATAATTTCAAAGAGTACAAATAAGCTTAATAAGAAATATTTAAATTTTAAGAAGCGGTCTTTTACCGTGTTAGGAAAGATAAAAATGAAAACTTACATGCTTCCAAAATCAATCTCAGGTAATATACAAGGGTAAATACATTATTGGTGTATAGATGTGTAATTTGTGGGGTGAGAGTTACCATTTTTAAAGGGGAAACATTAAACATAAATGGCCCTGTTAGAAATATAGAGCTTCATTAAATGAAATCAAGCACCTCAAATGGTTCATTGCAGACCATACAGTTGTGGTCCTGTAAGTTCCAAATTCTGGCATTTTTCAAAATAATTTCCTGAGCTCTTTCCTTTGAACTTAACTTCTCAAATATATTTTATTTTCAAATTAACACTGGGCCAGAACCTGTTTCCTTGGTAACCAAATCGTATTTAAAAATGCAATAACAGATATGCAAAAGGATGTGTTTAAAAAGGGATACAAATGTTTAATGAAAATTTTGCAGTTTTGTTTCCTCTTATATAGAATCTGCACTGTTTTAGACGTTTTAAAAATGCGGTCTTTGAGCCTTAAAAATTAAGCCATATTTCTAAAGATACAGAGAAAGCTTGCAGAGGAACAGCTTTTTTCCCCCCCTGTGCTCAGTACTTTCAAAATTAAGGTTTTCTTTGTAATGGCTCCAGAATGCAGGTCAAGGTTTGTGCTCAGAGGTGTAGTTTCATTATCACGAATCGATCAGCGCCTCTGAAACAAAAGGTATTTTAGAAGTTCTGAGAATCAGAAAACAGCTTATGCTCCTATTTCTCCCCATTCTTCCACTGGTAATCTCTGAGCTCTGGGTAGAAACTGACCCAAACCCAAACCTGCCCCCCCAATGACAAGCACACACTGAGTTCGTATGGTAGGATCTTTGTAGGTGTGTTAAAGGGAAATGCTGCAAAACCTAAAACCTCCCGGAGCTCTGAGGTGAAGAACCCTGGGCTCCAGAACCATATGTGTAAATAGTTGCTTTATTCTAGAAGTGTTTCTAAGTGTGCAGCACTGTCTGCACCATCAAACCTCTTCTGTGCTAAAAGGGTGGTTGTTGTTGTAACTGTTGTTGTTGTATTGTTTGGAGGCCAACTCTAGTATTTTGCTTGGAATCTTCCTCTGGCTCGATTATAGTAGAACGTGATTCATCTCATAGTGATTTTGTGCTCAGGGCTTGCGTGAAATATTCATCCTGCAACACCTTTATTTATTTAATTATTTTCCGACTGTTCGGGAGCCATTTTCCTTCTTTCTTATGACTGAAAATGCCTAAATATCTTTTGAATACAGTGTCCTTCAGATCATAAACTGAAGGGAAATGTTGGAAACCTGTTTCAGATTGCCATTTATTTTAGTACCAGTAGCATTAACACTTGCAATAGGATCAGGCTACTTGTCATTTGCTCTTGAGCAAATAGTGAGCTCTGCATTTGTAATTAAAACACTATTGCTATTCAGAAAGATTACTACACATTGTCTTCTATTTTAATAGGCCAGGGCAAATTAATCATTTTTAACCCATTTGGATCTTAGTTATAAGACTGAAACGATACAGTGCAATGGTTTTATCATAACATGAATATCTGATAGATTTCAACATTTATAAGATGTCGATGCTTTTGTCTTTAACTCAAGCACGCTTGCGTCATCGTGTAGATTTTCATACCTAATGATTTTTTAAATGGCATTATTTATTTACGTTGTTCTTTGTTGTGCCTAAAAGAATTTTAAATATGATTGAAGGTACAAGAAAACCAAATAAGACTGTTGGGAAGTGCATCTGCCATTGTCATTCTAAAAAATAGATCAGTGAATGGAAAAATAATTGTTATTTATTGCTTGATTATGTTTCACCTAATGCTTTGCCTTCCTATCTCACAGTAATGTTTACAAGGCACAAAGCTTTTCTAAACTTACTCATTTACAATTATTATTGGATTTCCTAGATTAGCAGAAAATGTTTCCTGCCAATTGAAGATGGCACTTACCCCTTTCATTGTTTAAAAGACTATGATTAACCTATTTGCACTTTTTGGCTAAGGTGTTTATACCGGGCAAGCTACAGTAGGTGCGACAGGAAGAAAGTGCAAACAACTGCTCTGTTCTCACCAAAGTGAAATGGGAAAATGTGTGGTTTTCTGCCTGGATGATTTACAGTATAAAATTCTCAATGCTTTTTTTTTCCTTTGGAGGATAGGCAATGTATTTCCAAGCTTTAGTTCAGTGAGAATACCATATTGCATCTCTTTCCTCTATAGTGATGTGATCCATTTCAGCAATTTCAGTGGACTCCCCAATCAGATCTTAATTTAGGGCCTCTTTACTGCATGATATGTGAGAAATATCTAGAAAAGGATCTCACCTTTCTCTCTAGTACTAAATCATGCTAAGTTTTTGAGTTCTGTGTGGCTCATTTTTACATCTCCAAGGGAAATACTCTTCTTAACAGCTTTCCTGGTAATTAAACCCTCAGCCCATTTACTAAGTCATAGTCCAGAACCTAGGAATATAATAATGAACAAGACAGATCACAGCACACTTCTCATGGACCTGAGTGTAGTATGGTAGGGTTAGAGATGGGGGAAGGAGGTAAAAATAAATTTGTAAACAAATAACTGAAGAAGACAGGTGAAAGAAGAAAAGTAAAAACTTAAAAAGCAAGGGTGATGGATTGTAAGGAAAAGAACCACTTTAGGATGGCTGTTGGAGAAAGCCTTCCTGGGGTGGTGGTACTTGAATGGAGATCTGTGTGATTTGTGTGATGAGATCAGCCAGGTGAAGCCCTGACAGGCACCTCTCCAGGTGGAGTCGTGCTTAGGCTCAAGCCACAAACTTCCCCTTCTTGGTGTACATGTCACACTCTCAGGGCCAGGTCTGCCAACTTGTCAGTTGAGTCTCCACCAGTGATAGCGTGGCCCAGGCTCCCGGAGTTTGGTAGTGGTAGGGTTGTTGCCTTTGACCCACTCACCACCCGAAGACTACCTCAGAAGTTGCAGTGAAACTTGGGACACTGCAGTCCTAGATGGTGATGAAATCCTGGCGCAGATTCAGCACCAATCCAAGAAAAGCCTTACAGAGCAAGGAAGTTTCTGGGAAGCCTCTTCCTTTGTTTTTCTTAAGAATTCCAGAATTTAAACTCATAACAAAACGTTGAGATAGCTATTTAATTTTTTTGAAGGCAATATGGCAGAAGGATCTGTCTGCTCTTACCAAGAAGGTGTCGTGTGTATATGCGTGTGTATGTGTGTGTGTGTATGTGTACACGTGTGTAGTGGTACTGGGAATGAAGCCCACGGCCTTTGCACTGAGCTACATCCCCAGCCCTTTTCACTGTTTATTTTGAGAGAGGGTCTTGCTAAGTCACTAAGTTGCCCAGGGTGGGCTTTACCTTGCAATCCTCCTGCCTCAGCCTCAGAGTGCTGGGATTACAGGTGTGTTCCACCACATCAACCCAGCAAGTATTTGTCATAGACTACTAGTGAAGTTTTTTCAGATTTCAGTAAAACATTTCGCTCTATAGACATCTTTCCTGTTCGCAGTTTTTTTTTAAAGGCCTGATTGTTTAGAGTGACTTTTCTCTATCATAGCAAATAGTGTTAAGGAGACTCTTTAGAGCCTTTCAGGTTAGTCTGCTGATGAAAGCCAGAGAACAAAGAGAGGGTTTGCTATACAAGTTAGAAATTATAAGGCTCTTCAGAGGCTCTGAACATTCCAGAGGCACTTCCTAAAACTGATTTATAATTTAGCTCAGCACAGTGAAAGTGGCCTGGCTGACCCTTACTTTATTTGGGTTTTTGAGACACATCCCACTGCATGAAGACAAACTTCTTCTGGTCCTTTGCAACAGAGTATTGCCCATCATGGGAGAGGAGACTTCAATTCAGTTCACTTCTTGGGGTATTTGTTGAGCACCTACTGTATGACAGACACAGCTCTAAGCCAGGCAGAATGAAATATGACAAGGTCCCTATGGGACTCTGTCCAGGCTCCACATGAAGCCAGAGCACAGTCTGGACAAACACAGTCGCGGATCCTCTCTGGTGCAGAAAGAAATGAATGGCATGCTGTTCTCTCGGTAGCCTTTGTTCCTGTTCCCTGGAGTCCAGCCTTCAGTCTGGGGACAGCTCAGCTGATGGCAAGGACCGGTCTTCATTTGGACTTTGTCTCTTGTGCTTACCACCTTCCCAAGATGTCTTGGCTCCTAATAAGTCACCGTATGTCTGGCTGCCCTTCTCCAAGCTGGTCTGCCTGCATTGCCAGGTGACCTCAGTAACGGCTGCTACTTTTGCATTCATGAGCAGATGTTAAGTTGAGAAGCCCTTGAATACAAAAATTTGAATTTGTGATGCCAGCAAGATGCTTTTGCTTTTTTAACCTTCCCTGACTGACAATAGGGGTCTCC